CCCCAAAGGCCAAATAGCACACGTGGACATTTATGATCAGGCCATTCGACCAACAATAAAATCTCTTACAAGATTCACAGCGTAAGGCTACAGGATTCTATACATTTGGTTTTTTAAAAATGCATATAAGATGTAATTACATGTATTTCCAAAATGATGCTTTGATACCATTCAAAGTCGAAACCCAATGATAGCTATTGATTCTGTAAAAAGCATCTTGGTTGAAAATAAAGTCGTGACAGGCAAGTCAATTCTTTTCTCTTTGACAAAACCGCACCATGTGTATCCCTTATATCAGGGAAAGTTCACACTGACCTCTTCATTCTTAGAAGCCAGCCAGTTCTCCTTGCTTTCAATGAGGAAGGCAATGCAACAGATTACGAAGAAAACACCGATGCCAACTGCGATCGAAATGCCAATCTGGGCTCCCGTAGCTGTGGAAAGACAAAAAACAACATTATGTTACAATTATCTTATTATGCATGGGGAGCCGTTATGGTTCGAGTTTTGCATCCCCTACAACCCAGTAAATTTGCTTTAAGGGGCAGGATACTACGGTTTAACGTCTATCTTCTATCGGACAAAACCAAGCGCGCGGGAAACTGTGAAGACTACTCTAAAGACCTACAGTTGTTGTTTTTTTAGGGGGGGATTAGTTTTTATGTTGGGGGGGGGGGTCAAGAACTCATGGGGTGGCAATATCGGTGTCTGTGGTGCAGCCAACTGCTGAAATTGGCCGTCGTTGGTACGTGTCAGATCTACATCCTGAAAAAAAGGGTAGGGGGGGGGGTTGCAATTTTTCTCCTCCCTCTTGGAACATTTTCCCTCTCAATCCACAGTGCTGATAGGAGACCATGCGCTCAGACCTTTATTGTATCTAGAAAGGCTTCCAACATAACTATGTAAGAGAAAAAAGAGGCACAAAGCAGTATGACATTATGTGTTTCTGAGCCTCGGTTGTTGAAAGAGTTGGTTTTTTTAAAGCTGTCAACGACGCTATCGGCGTTGACGTCAGGGGGTGGGCCTGATATGTAATAACTCACTCTGGGTGGATGGGGTAAGAGTTTCAAATAACCAAATTACTAGTTCTTTTCGCTCGCTTAGAGCTCCCCACTAGAGACATGTGTGTGTGAGTGTGTGTGTGTGTGTGCGTGAGTGTGTGTGTATGCGTGTGTGTGTGTATGAGTGTGTGTGTGTGTGGGGGGGGGGGGGTATAATAGTCCACAAAGTTTTGCATGAGAAAAAACAGTTGAAAAGTAATGTCCGTCTACCTGTCCACGTATCTCCAAGTATCTTACCGATCTGTAACAACAACAACAACAAAGCAACAACAACAACAACAACAACAACAGCAACAACAACAACAACAACAACAACAACAACAACAACAACAACAACAATAACAGCAACAGCAGTAATAAAAATGGGAGCTACTGCAGCAGCACTTTAATTACTGAACCAGTTTTACGCTTTCAAGGAATGGTGTGCCAAAATAGGAGTGGTTTGGGTTTTTGTTTGAATAAAGAGAAGAACATCGACACAATAACGGCAAATTAGAACGGGGAAGAGCAAGACAGAAAGGCAGAATCAGGGGGGAAACAAAAGAAATACAGTGAAACTCGGATTCAACGAGGTCGCCAGGCCAGACCTAATATCTCGTTGAATCCGAGTGTTCGTTATAGCAAACATGAGGTTTTGTGTAGATAATTACAGGCACAGAGCAAGTAATGTATAAAGAGAAGTCACAAGTAGTGCCTGAAACGCCTGATTATAATGAGCTGTGTAAAAAAAAAAAGACCGATTCGTTCAAATGCACTCTTGTGTCATCTTGATAGTTTACCAAAAAGTTGTGTTGCTGTGTAGAGCCTAGCATACGGCAACTTTTGATTCCGTAGACCAGCGCACAATTCATTAAGTAGATCAACGTCAAGACTAGCTTATCAGTGTAATAATGATCTGTTGACGAAGGGAAAAAAGACTGACGCGTTTGTATCTGCGACGTTCAACGCCTTGACCGCTATGCCCCCCGCCCTCCCGACACGCAGGCACGCCATCCATCCGACCCCGACACACGCCAAAGTAGACACGTGCGCTTGCCAACAACGCATGTGTTGGTGTGAAAAAAGGCCGCTGATTGGTCGTTTGCAATCGGTTAAGTGAATAATAGTTCACAATGCAGGTGCAATGGATGGTTTCCGGGAATCCGGGAATAGATAAAGTTCGTTCTGGAATAAAAAATTAGCGAAGCTACGTCTGCGGGGGCTGTTCACCCTGGAAGCGACCTCGTTGAATCCGAGCTCGCTAATTGATTTTAATGAAGAAGAAAAAAACGGGGAATCTATCTCATCTAGTTGAATCCGAGCTCGTTGAATCTGAGTTCCACTTCCTTCCAATTGC